TAATCGTGAGTCCTTGTCAGTGACAGACTCTCGAAGGCTACACCTTCCACGGCCAGATCCACCTTCCGCCAGCTGCCAGTCAGTAACAGGGTTAGCAGTCCACTGAGGGGTTTAACGTGAGGACGGGACCAACCTGAGAGAAGTGCAGTTTGCTCCCCAGCCAACCACAAGGCCAGGGGAAACAAATTGTCAGTCTGCTTGGGATTAGTTTAATGACCATGAGCCAGCCAAAGAACTCCCCTTCCTCCCTCACCTGGCTTCTGTCCTCTCCGGAGAGCCTCGGGGACCCAGGGCATCGTTCCCATCCCCTGGGGAAGGGTTCCTGGCTCTCCTCCCCCACTGCCACGTCCTCTCACAAGAGGGTCTAGTGGTTCCCAGGGTCGTGGCCCCACTCCCTCCTCCTTCCCTTTGCCTCTTCTTAGCCTCAGCCTTGGCAAGGTGATGAATTAGGAACAGGAGTTGGCACATCCACCCAGCAATTAGCGTTTATCTCCCTTGTTTATGTGGCTGAACAACAGTTCATTTTCAAACTCAATTGTCAATACTCAGAAAGATAAAACCGGGTCACTCTTGGGAGGTGAGTTGAGGGTTTGGTGGGCAAACGAGGGTGGGGCAGACGCTGGGCCCACACCTCCACCTCCAAATGCAGACCTCTCTGGACAGTCATTCCCAGGACCCACTTTTTACCCTTCTGAGCTCCCTGCATAGTCCATCAGGAGGAAGGTACAAGAGTTCCCCATTCTGTAGGTGGGAAATCTGAGGATGACGGAAGTCAGGGGGCTCTGAGTTTGCAGCCCCTCAGTTTCCCCTCACCTTGGATTCGGGGACTCGGGCTTTCCATCTCACACTTCACATGGTGGTCTGCCTTGTACAGAGTCACCCCACCTTCAGGGGCTGCTGAACTGAACCTGACATCCCACCAGCCCCTCCCTCATGCCCACCCACATCCAGAGAGAGCCCAAGGCAGCAGTGCCCAAATGGAGGGAACCGTCCCGCGCCCCACCCTGCAGCCTCTGTGCCAGGTTGGGCTGGGGTTGGTGGTGTGAACAGCAAGCCCCCCATCCTGCTCAGCTGGGGGATAGCCATCTGGTAGTCAGACATGCCACAGCCCAGGACTACAAGGTCTATTTAGCCAGTGCAGAAGGAGGGGAGAAAGGGGCTCACCTTGTGCCAGGGCTGCAAGGCTGAGTCCTGACCGTTGGGCCAGGGGAGGGGAAGGAGGGAGGGTCAGTGCCCATTAACCATGGTGAAATGCTGCCACCTGCTGGCCATATCTCAGAACTGCAGGAAGCCCTGGGGCTGGAAAAGAGATGGGCACCCCCACCCCCACCCCCACCCCCACCACCCAGGTTCCTCCAGTCCAAGTGTGAAAGGTTAAAAAGATGGAAAATCAAGCTTGGTCCCGAGTTGGGATGTTGTTGCTGTTATTGATTCGACAGCAAGAGTAATATCACGTCTCAGTTATTGAGCACTCGCTATGCCAGGTGCTTCGCGGAGTTTCTGATGTTCCCTACAATCCTTCAAGGTGCTGTGACCCTCTTGCAGGCTGGGTAGCTCGCCCAAGGTCACACAGCTGGTGAGTGATGCAGTCGGGGTCCTGACTCGGGCAGCCTGGCTGCAAACCGTGTACTCCAAACTCAGAAGCCCCGTCTCGGTTCCCACACCATGAAATGTCCCAGATGCCCCCTCCCCGGACATCTCCCCGACTCTCCTTCTGCTTCGTTCACCCTCCACTCCACCACCTCTCCCCCAGATAACTGGTTCTTAGCCTCCAAGGCCTGTCTGCACGCCGCTCTGATCTAAGAAAACAAAACGGAATCACCCCTGATATCACAGAGTCCATACTTCAGTGGGTCCTGAAGATCCAGGCTGGGAGCTGAGCTCGAAGGCTGCTGAGCCCCCAGCCTCCCCGCTCTGAATAGGGGTGGTGTCTCCTTGGGAAGGGCCCGAGCCCTGACAGTTGGCATCTAAAGGCGGGGTGCGGCAGCTGGGCTGGGTAAGGGGAGCCTCGGGGATCTGGGAGTCCAGTCCTCCTGGCTCTCAATCCACTCCTAATCACAGAGCCCTGACCTGGGACCAGGCTCAATTTTCCAGTCCCTTCCGATCACCCTCTCTGTGGTCTCTATCACACAGATTATTAGAGCTGGGAAAGGACCTCAGGAATGATCCAGTGAAAACATCTCATTATATAGACAGGAAGGTCAAGACCAGAGAGGGCAAGCGGCTAGCCGAGATCACACAGCCCAAAGTGACATAGCCAGGAAAAGAACTCCCAACTACCTCGCCAGGACCTCCTGCTGAGCCCCAGCTCTGCCTCCCTCCTCCTCCAGCCCAGACCCCAAGGGGTCCTCCCGCATCTATCAGCGGGCTACCCATGCACCCAGAATAGCCTAAGCCCAGAGCTGGGTGAGGACGGGCGGTGGGGGCATGGACAGGCCTTTGCTGGGCTCGAGAGGAATAAGAATGGAAACAGAGTCTTGCTTCTCTCCTTTCTCTCCCGTTCTGGAGAGAGATAATTTCTCCCCGTGCACCTCCTCTTCCCTGAGCCTCTTGGGGCTGCAACAGTCCTGATGTTTTCACCACGCTGCGGAGGGAGGCATTCTAAGAAGTGGGAAGAAAGGCTTCCCCTGATTGCTTTATAATCGCGGCTCTGATGGTAATGGAACTGGTGGGAAACGATGGGGGAGCGTGATGCTTGGGGGGCGTCCCCACCCAGGTCCCAGCAGGGGCCCAGGGCCTCCGGACACTGCTGTCCCCCTGCCTCCCCACCGCGCCAGCCTCCACGCTGCAGGTGGCAGCTTCCGGTGAGGCCCTGGCCTGGGACAGGCAGGGCCCCGGCTGCCCCCGTGGCTTTCAGCCATAGGAATTCAGCTGGACCTGGGTCCCCATCCTTTATCCTTCCTTTGGAGCTGGCGGGCTTGTGGAAGGGCTCCAGATGTGGGGAGACAGGGCCTTTCTCAGAGAATTTGGGCATCCCTGGGGCCTCCTCACCATCACGGCCACAGGGACTGCTGGTCCTAAGGAAGGTCAGGGAGGCTGCAGGGTGCAGGGTGCCCATCGGGTTAGGCCTGCTGGGGGAGCACTCCTCAGAGGGCATTGCTCGGGGAACAAGCACCAGGGGCAGGGGGCTGTGGGGAGCAGCCAAGCCCAGGGACACTGTACTCCCAGCTCCCGAGGGAGGGCACCGAGGTGGCAGCACAGGGCAGTCCCCCTTGTGGTCGTCTCTCCTTCCTGACAGCACATGGAGGTCCTCCACCCACGCACTGGGGCCCTTCGCCTGCCTCTCCTTTCTCACCTCCTTTCCCGCGTCAGCCTCTTCTTGCCATTTCTCCCTTCCCTTCTCTGATTCTAAGGAGCCCCCTTCTGGGAAGCCAGGCTGCTGGCTGCCATCCTAACGCTCCCCTGGCCCAGCAGGGCGGGGAGAGGGAGGAGAGGAGGGTATTGCCCATCCATGACCAGCAGTCAGCTTATTTAGGTACTTTTACTAGGTGGGGGAGAGGGCTGTTCCCCTGGTGCCATTTGGCCCCCGGTGGGGAGCAGAGCAAGGAAGGACAATGAGAATGGAGGGGCCTGGGGTCCCTGGCCACACCAGGGGAAAGCAGATGGTTTTCTTGCATCCTCTTTCCCTCCCTACCAAGTCACGCTTCCTCCTGTCTTGCTTGCCTCTTCCAGGAAGCCTTCTCTGACTGCTCCTCCAGGCCTCTCTGGGCCCCCAGGGACTGGAAGGCCTCATCTCTGTCCTCCATGCCCCAAGCTCAGGATGGCACTGCCCTCAGGAGCCGGGATCTCCTTCCAGGCCTCTGCTGTATGTTCCCCTATCCAGGAAGCCCTCCCACTACTGAAGTCTGAAGCCTCTGGTCAGCCCCCACTGCAGCTTGTGCGTAGTCACTCCTGGGTCCTCCTCCCCTCTGGGGACTCCAGGGTAGGCTGGCAAGGGGGCCTGAGTACTCACAGCCCTCGGGGTATTCGACACATCCCCAGGACCCCACCCTACCATCCTCCCTTCTGCTCATTGTTAGCCGAGTGCTGCTCAGAAGGTCCAGTCTCCTGCATTGCACCTGAGGGACTCAGATGGGGGTGCAAGGGGTGAGAAGGAGACCCAGAGGAGCCACGACTTCTGGAGGAAAGAGGGGCAATGACCACACACTCATCAAAAGTAGAAAAAGTGTGTTCAGAAGAACTGCAGCCAGTCCCTCTGATGACCCTCAAGGAAATGCTTGTTCAATACACAAGAAGTGGGTGATCAATGGTTTATTCAGGAGGGGAAAGCTCAAGCTGAATGTCTCCCTCCCTTCCTCCCTCCCCACCCCTGCAAGCTAGCCCCCCCTCCCCAGAGCCCCCATAGGCCCTCAAGGGGTAGTGAGAGGAAGTATGAGCCCACCTCGCTGCTCCTAGTCTGGTCTCCTCTCCAGGCCCCGGGCCCCGTGGCAACATGTGACATGGGGAGTAGTCAGAGCGAAGAGGAAGGCTCTGATGGGGAAAGTGGATGAGGGTGGGGGGCAGTGTTTAAGGCACTCTTGTAAATAGTACCAGCAGTTACCAGCCCAGCCACTTTCACCGGCCTGCTCACTTCCCATTGCCAGGGAGGACACAGAATGACAAAACTGATGAAATTCTACAGGTAATAGTATTCCCCTAAAGGGACTGGGCCAGTAGCTATTTTCATGGGTGCATCATGTTATGTCAAGGAATTGCTTATCTCAGCAGGCAGAAGAGAAGAATTTCTGGCTAAGATCACCCTGCCAGCCATGAGAGCGCATCCTCAGGGACCGCAGACTCGAAGTGGATGCGGGGAGACCAAGTCTGGGAGGGATGATGCCAAGATGCAGAGAGGTTTCCCTGTGTGGTGGCCCAGGGCTGCAGGCTCTGCCAGGCCGGGCATTGGTAGGTAGGACCAGAGGAGGGCACATAGGATAGTCTTCTCCTGACGGGGCCAGGCTGCTGGGAAGGAGAAGGGGGCCCACGCAGACGGCAGATGGGCAGCTGTCTTAGCCAGGCACCTCCTGGCCGCATCATGGGGCAAGGGGCCTTCGAGAGAATTGGCCAACAGGCCTGAAGACAGCAGGGGCGTGGGCAGGAGAGACAGGCTGGTACCACGTGGGCTCCCACTGCGAGCCCCAATGATCCCACCCAAGAGGAGGGGGGTATTGGGTTAGGGGATAGGAGCCCACCTATCTCCCACCCTGCTGTGGTTGGCCTCTGAGCACAGGAAAGATGGTGACCGTCAGAAGTCACACAGCAGGAGAGGGCCCTGGATGGAGCGTGGCTAGTTGGGGAGGAGGGGGAGGCCAGGCCAGCCCGAGAGGGCCGCAGAGGGCTGGGGGTGGCAGCGCAGGGCCGGGCTCCCTCCCACCAGATGGGAACAGTAGCAAGAGCAGCAGGATCAGCTGGGGGGCAGGGCTGGCGGTGCCTCGTTCCGCCCGCGTGAGCTCAGGGGGCCTCACTGGACCCGATCCCGCTGCCCTTGTTGACGTAGAACGGCCGGTGGTGAGACTGCGGGGAAATGACAGGAGTTAGGGAGAGCAGATGGCGGCTGAGCCTCCTAGCCAGACCCACCCGACCCTAACCTACCCCAGGAAGCAGCAGTGGTCTGAACCCCAACAATCCTGGGGGCCTGCAGCCTCACTTGCAAGCTCTAGCTACCCTGTGATCAGGGTTGGGCCCCAGCGTTATCAGAGTCTCCGGGTTCAAATCCTCATTAGAGTTCATTCCATCAGTCGGTTGGAGAGCTTGAACTTCAGCGCCTCATCAAACTTTCTCTCCACGGCCCAGGAAGACCCTCCAGCGCCACCACAGCACCGTTTACACAGTGCTTTCTCCCCTACACACCACACAGCACTGGTACAAGTGCTTCATACAGATGGGGTCATATAATTTTACAACCACTCAATTAGGTGGGTTACTGTTATCATACCCATTTTACAGATGAACAAACCAAGGCACAGAGAGCTTAAGCAACTTGCTCAAGGTCACCCAGCTGGTAAGCAGAGGAGCTGGGACTTGAGCCCCAGCAGTCTGGCTCCTGAGTATGCTCCCCACCCTACCCCCATGTCTCTGCACCTCGTCTTGAGTCTCAAGGGCTTTAAGTGTTTGCTTCTGCTCTTGCCTCATAACTCTCCCTGGCAGAGGAGGCACAGACAGAGCAACCAGCCGCCCCAGCCCAACACAGCCCGTGGGGTCCCCAACCCCAGCCCCTCTGCCTCTCTCATCCTGGCCCCTCATCAGGATTCAGGGAGCATCTCTCAGGACAGAGGCGATGACAACTTTCCCATTGGCTCTGTATATTACATCTTGCAGCAGTTTCACGAAATCAGCACTCCCCTCTCCTCCCAGTCACTTCATCAGCGCCCTGGAAATCGCCCTCCAGGCTGACAGAGGAGCACATCTTAGCCGCTGCTTGTCTGTGTGAGCACCCGCAGCCCCTAGAGGGTCCCCGGAAGAGGCTTTGTCCCTGAGCTGGGTCAGAGACTGAATCACCTCACACCCCACTGCTTCCAGGACAGGAGACAGGGTGTTCCCAGCCCCAGCCCTTGACCTTGCCTGTCTGGAAACTTGTACCTACTAGTAGCTCCTTGCCTACATCTGGTCCAGAGCAGGACTCAGGGGGCCTGTGGAACACTGGGGCTGAGGGTCCTTAGCTCAGACCTCGGTTAAATCATCCATTAAACAAAGGGAGAGATGGGACCCAGGGTGGGCAAAGACATAGCCAGAGTCACACAGCTGCTCAGTGGCAGAGCAGGCCCTGGACCGGTCTCCTGACCCCCAGGTGCCAGTCTGGACCCCAAAGTAGTCAGTAAGGCAAAGTGAATAGACCTGGAAATGGCCTTTCTTTCAGGAAGGCTGGGTCAATTAGATGGATCGCAGGTCAGTGAATGGTGCTGTCTTGTAGGAGCCCAGAGTGGTGGGTGGGCAGGTACAGAGCCCCAGGGCATCCAGGCGGGGTGCTCCCCTGCCCCCTCGTCTGTCTCCTCCCTGGTTCAGGTCACAGCAGGTGAGAGTTGTATGGGCTATGAAATCATCTGGGCCATCCAACTCATGTTACAGATGGGGAAACTGAGGCACCGAGGAGGAATGACTCACACGAGGTCACACAACAAGTTGGTGAGAGGGTTGGGCCAGACCCCAGGTGTCCTGACCCCCAGGCCAGCCCTCCATGCACACTAGCACCTGTGTCCATCCTCCCAGCGCTGGGTGCTAACGGGACACCAGAACCCTGCCCTGCCAGGCGTCTCAAGCTGGCAATGAGCCTTCTCTGCTGGGACCCAGGCTGGGAGGGTGGGAAAGTATGTGGCAGGGAGAGGAAGGACCGAGTCCAGGAACAGAAACCTTCTTTTTCTCCCCATATCTGCTTTCTGCAGTCCTGCTGTTGCAATGCCCCTGGGCTCAGCTCCAAATTACACACACAGTCACTTAGCTCCCATCGCCGGCAAATTAAAGATGCTCTCCAATTAAACCAGCCCCAGTCACTCTTTGTAGCCCAGAGCAAATCACCTCTCCACGCTCTGACCTCCAAATGCAAAGACAGCAGGGAGCTGGGGCCTCTAGCCACCATCCCCAGCAGATGCCACCCACATCCCAGGGAAGCTGGCTGACCCCCTCAGCAGGGCCTGCCATGAAGCTTCAGGAGAGAAGCACTCTGGGAGGTGGAGGCACAGTGTGTGAAGGATCACCCCTGATGACTGAGGTCTAGGGCAGGGGTCAGGCATGTTAGGGCTACAGGGTATTAGGGATCAACTCATCCCAGCACCGCATTAGAGAAATGAAGAAACAGAGTTCCAGAGAGGGATCTGCCCTGCCCAGGATCCCCCAGCCAGCAGGTGGCCTGGACCCCAAGGCCATGCTTCCCTCTTATGTTGCTCTTCAGGGACGCTGGCTCAGGGTCATTAGATATCGAACCCTAAATACATCTGTTCCTAGTTTTGCAGCCTCTGCCTCACCCACGATCTCATCCCAAGGGCCTCTCTGCTGTCAGAGCGGGAGAACTGCCCCAGGAGAGTGGGAGCCATCTCGAGGATGCCCGTCCCCTGGACGGAGCATTTTACACTCCCGGAGATGTGGGGACCAAGCCATCGTTCAACAAGCACAGGCGCCTAAGGACCATTTGCCAAAGAAAAAAACAGGGCTGCCCACTTTACGGATTGGAAAGCTGAGGCCCAGAAAGTGTGTGCTCACCCAGGCCCTTTGCCTATTAGCCTGAGGCTCTACTACCCTTTGCTGAAAGCAGGTATTCAGGCCACTGCTACCTCCTGCTCCACCCCATGGCCCAGACGTGTCACCAGCCTCCCACAGGCCCTGGGCAAGTGATGACCTGTTGCCTCTAGGGAGCCCCGTGCAGTGCCCATTCTGGACATGCCCATGCCCATGGCAGGCTCTCCTGGCAGCCCCTTACTCACCAGCAAAGTCTGCTTGCCAGACTTCCAAGTCTGGGGCTGGGCCTTGGGGCTCTGGCTCCGCATGAGGGAGGGATAGCCTGCGGAAACAAGAGGCTCCCGTGAGAGGCAGTGTGGGCTGGCCATCAGGGGCCCCAGAGCCAGGGCAGCACAGATGCCATCCCCAAAGTGCCCACCAAGCTCCATCCAGCCCACTACCAAGTGCAGCCACCCCTGAAGAGGCGTGCAGCAGCCGGGGGGCCGCAGTGGAGAATCCTGGGGAGGCTGGCCGAAGGGAGGGGGCACCAAGGCAGACAGAAAGAGGAGGAAGCGGTCAGGTGAGCTGGGCCAGGCGGGGGGGGGGCGTGTCACCCCCAAATCCAGGTTAGGATCACACACTCCACTGGGATTTCCCTCTGCTCCCCCCTCCCCTCCCCGCAGCCCAAGATGGCCACTTCATAATCACAGCTGGCCAGGATTTCCACCAGGAGGCACTCACTCCAACTCCCCCGAGCCACATGGACTATGCTCCCCACTTACTGGCCCCACGTGCGCCAAGCACTGTGCCCGTCTCCTCACTGAGCCCTCAGCCGTTTCTATGAGCTCAGCAGTTTGCCCCGAGCTGCACAGCTAATAAGCAGCAGGCAGGATTTAAACACAGGTTTTGCTGGACGCCAAAACCCACCCTCATGTGCCTCCCGCCCAGTTCTGCTGCCTCTCCCCTGCTTCATGAGTAGGAGGCTGGGGCCCAGAGACAGGCAGTAATTTGCTGTGTGGCTGCAGTCCAGGGTTAAGACAGCAAGCCCAAGGGGCCCAGGGCAAGTAGGCGCTGTCCGGGCCTGGTCCTGAAGGCGCTGGTCGAGGGCGGGGCTGCCCGGCCCCTCTCCCTCAACTCCCCCCTCAGCCCAGTGGGGTCTGTAAGAAGCTCTGGTCCACAGAACTGTGACAAGCACTCTCGGTGTCAGCCATCAGCCTGCAGGTACAGGCAGTGGTGCCTGGGAAGGAACAGGCTGTGACCTGGATGTTGAGGAGCCCAAGAAGTAAGCAGGGTCTGTCCTCAGCTGGGCAGCCTGGAGCCCTGTCCTGGCCTCTCTAAGGGAGGAGGAGCAGGAGACCAGAGACCACCTGCAGCTCTGCCAGGCTGCCAGCCAGGCTGGCCCTTATCAAGGGGGCGGAGACAGAGCAGAGAACCCAGTCTCTCCCCACATCTGGGGGTGGGGCAGCCTTGCAAAAAGAGGGTTCTGAAGGTCCTGAGTGGGAGACTGAGAAAGAGGGGATTCAGGTCTGACTTCTCAGTTCCCAGAAAGAAGATCTCATGCCAGCTGTGAGAGAGGAGAAGATGGGGATGGGGCAGGGGTGTGGTCCAGGAGAGCAGCCTTGTGCAGCAGGCGGAAGTCCAGGGGAGGGGGAGCTAGGGATGGGGCGACATGCTTCCCTCTTCCAGGGGGCTCTGGGGAGGAGGGACCAGGACACCCTGGAAGTGGCAGAGAGCCCCACGGGTTGTCCCACCTGCCCTGCTGTGGGAGAGAAAAGGGGACGCATGGAAACGGGCAGGTACCAGGATTATTTTTAAACAGCCCACTGCCATCCAGCGGTTTGGAAAACTCTGTGGTGGCCTGTCCCAAGGTGGTGAACTGATAAGGGACTTTCCCAGGGCCTGCTGGGAGAGAGAGAGGCATTAACAGCTGGTGCTGGTCCCAGGAGGGGCCAAAGGGAGTCACATCTCACCCAGGATGCTGTGGCTCTCCACAGCCCTTGCTCAGCCCTCCACGACCCTGAGCATCCTCCGCCTCCCTCCAGGACTGCTGGAGGAGGGCCGGGTGGACTGGTCCTCACAGGCGGGGCTTCTCCTCACACACAGGCAGCCCCTGCCCAGAAACCCCCATCCAAGGCCATCCCCAGCAGATCTGGTGAGCTGATCTGTGTGAAGGTGATGATGGGTGTCCCTGGGCTATGTCACCACACCGTGTATTTGAGGAGTGGCTCTCCTAGGGCAAAGCCTTCCACTGGGAGGCCCTGCAGGCTGATGGGGGGAGACTGGGGAGCATGAAAGCTCCCAATCACGCCTGAGGGTGGCCGTCTTCCCTGCCGGTGGCCTTTGATCCAGGCTTGACCAGACAGCAGGGAAGGATCTGCTGGAAGCCAGGGAGGCCAAGGCAAGTCCCAGAGCTTCCCAGGCCTGGCTCGGGGAGAGGACGACCCTGGGGGTCCTGCAGGCTGGGACTCCTTCACCTTGCTGGTCCTTCCAAGAATCCCTGCCCCAGGTACAGGCTGGGATCCCAGCCTGGAAAGGAGAACTGGCTGATAAAGCCGCCCTCCGAGGCCACGGCTTGGGGTCTGCCTGCCCTGCACAGCCCCATTCCCACCCCCTCTCCCTGACCCCACCCAATCTGCTTATCCTCTCTTCCAGGCTGGATGTCTTGGGTGTCACAAGACAGATGGGTTTACTCCCACTGTAGCCCACCGGAGCTGTCCCCAGCACCTTTCAGAAGAGACGTGAGGGCCCCGGGACCCCACTGTAAGCCGGAGTCTGGCTCCAGCCTGCCCCTCAGGATGACCCCACCCCCAGGGGACAGGAGGCATTGACCTCTCAGCCTTGGCAAAGAGTTTGGGGAGCAGACTCAGTCTTAGGTGGCCTTAGAGATCATCTAGTCCCGCCTTTCCCAAAGCGGGCTCTGCAGGACTCTGGCTCTGCGGGATGTTGACGGGTGCTACATGGCCACAAGGTTCTAGAGTCAACCCAGGCTGGGAGTCACTGGGAAAACACTTAAATAAGCTCTCTGCAGTAGGAAGACCTGGAAGTCAAGCTGATAGAAGCGCCCCGGGGATGTCCGGGGTGGGTGTGTAGAGGGTGTGGCGCGTCCCCACCTCCCTGACACTGAGGCCTGTTATCGCAGCGCATCCTTAGGGATCAGTGTGTGAGGCCCTGAGAAACGTTGATGTGGCCCAGCCTCATTTACAGTCAAGACAGATGAAGGCAGCTCCCACCGGCTCTCAGGCCAGGGGTCTCTCCCCTACAAGGCGAGGAACAGGCGAGCGAGGGAGCGGAGACCAACGCAGGGCTTGGCGAGTGACAGGAGAGGCGGGGCAGGGTGGGGAGAGCTCACCTTTCAGGGAGAAGGAGGAGCTGCCTTGGACCGTGGGCAGCTCATCGGTGCTCTGAAGGGAGGAGGAGTATTCCCAGACCCGGGAGGTGTAGTTACCTGGCAGGGCAGAGGAAGGGGCGTCAGATCTCAGCAACCTAGCGTGGGGCACAGAGGGCAGGACTCGACCACTTCTGTGAGTCTCACCAGCCCCGGCCACGTCTCAAGCCAGGATGCCACTATGCCCCAGTCATGCCTCCTGCCAATCCTTCCTGCCATCGAAGTTGTCTTTCTAAACCATAAAGTCTCATCATGTCCCTGCCCTACCTGGAGGCCCACTGTCCTCAGATTAAGGTACGAAGTCCTTAACAGGGCCCACAGCTCCTCCATGAGCTGCTGCCCCACCCTCTCCACCGGCTCCACTTCTCGGCTTCACCTCTCTCACCTCCTCTCCATCGCTCAACATCCCAACCAGGCTGCACTCTAAGCACCAGGCTTTCTCTCGCCCCAGGATTTTTGCACAGACCGGGTCCTCTGCCTAGGGTGCTCCACCTGTCCCCTATCCTTAGCAAATGCATGTGTTGAATCGTCAGGTATCAGCTTCCATTTCATCTCCTCCGAGTCTGTGTGTCCCTCAGCCCCATGCCCCACGTCACCCTGCACCCGTCTCCATGGGTTGTAACTGCTTGTTTAATAGTCTGCCTAGGGCCGGCCCCATGGCTTAGCGGTTAAGCGCGCGCGCTCCGCTGCTGGCAGCCCGGGTTCGAATCCCGGGCGCGCACCGACGCACCGCTTCTCTGGCCATGCTGAAGCCGCGTCCCACATACAGCAACTAGAAGGATGTGCAGCTATGACATACAACTATCTACTGGGGCTTTGGGGGAAAAAATAAATAAATAAAATTTAAAAAAAAAATAGTCGGTCTGCCCCACTGGGCTCCAAGGGGACAGGGGATACGCCCGTCTGACCCAGCATCACACCCAGCACCTGGCACCATGCCTGGTTCCTGGAAGGTCATCATTATATGGTTGATGGATGAATGAATGAGCAAACAAACAATAAACGCAAACATGTCCTAAAACTTGAGGACAGAGGCAGCTGATACAACTCCTGAAATTCTGTTTGCCAAGTTGAACAGGCTGACAAATGTCCATTGGCGAGTATATCCCTGCAGTCTAGAGGAAAAGAGGCAGTGGGGAGGGTGTGCACAGAAGAGCAGGGGCACCACGAGGGCATTCCAGTGAGGGGCTTCGGAGGCTCCATGGATGAGGCACCTTCTCCAGCCCCCTCCCTCTCAGTAGGCTCGGAGCGTTGGGGGCTCTCCTGAGTCAGGCTCACTCCACAGCGGAGCCCACCAGGCCTGGCTGTCCTCTCCCACCACTGCCTGCAGGGAGGGCTGGGGGCTGACATTTGGGTCAGCGGTCAGAGATGCCTGGGGCTGGCCGCCTGCCCCAGTATGAACCCCTCACATAGGGACCAGGAATGTTCTGCAGCAAGGCCCTCAATGGTCACATCCACTAAGGTTCCAAGGGGCCATACACCCGGCCCTTTCATTCCCTCATTCGTCCACTCGTTCTTTCTTCCAACAAATGTTTCCTCAGCCCCCTTCCTTCTGGGCCCTGGAGTTGCTGCAGCGCACAAGACAGACCCAGCTTCCACCCTCCTGGAGCTCACAGTCTACTGCGCATGTGATCCAATCCTGGACGTAGGGGCCTGAGCATTGCCCTGTCCATGTGTGCCCCAACTCTCCAGATCGCCGGGGGCCTTGTCCTCACTGAAGAGCCCCCCACACCCTTCCTCACCTCCTCAGACCTCCCAGTGCCGTGTCCAAGCTGGGGGCTCTGGTGGAGCTGGCCCAGTCCCCGTCATACCTGCACATGTCTACACCACCCAGGAGCCTCCCAGAGCCTGGGCTCTTCAAGCACATGGCCCTGCCCTCGACACAGTGGTCCCCTCAGTGCACCAGTGGAGGGGGGTGGAGGGGACCCTGCACTCAGCAGCTCTCCCTGGGGAAGCCACGTCTCCACCCTCACGTCACCTCTTCTGGGTCTCGCTCACCACAACACCTCCTGGATTTCCAGCAAAGCCCCATTTTATACCGCCATTCTTTCCATTTACAGCTAAACTAGTTGTTTTAACCACTGTGTGACTTTTCAGTGCAGAAGCACACAGATCAGTAAGGATCCCCTGTGGGTCTTCGCACCCGATACCTGCAGAGGGAAGTCTCCACACCTAACCCCAGTTCTAGTTTCCCCGACTCATCCTTCAGGGAGAAGATCTTAGGGACTCAGGGATTTCCAGAGATGCTGACGTCTCCGGCTGCCTCTACCCAGCCTAACTAACAACATCACACACAGGCACACAACACACGCTCACACACGTACCACACAGGTATGCACACACAACACACATACATACACACATGAACACACTACGCAGGTGCACACATACACCATACATATGCATACACACCAAACCTCACACACACACTTTAAGCTCAGTAGGACACTTCCCACCCATCTCTGGGTCCCCTATCCCATCTCATCACCCCAGATTCACCACACATTAGGGAATCCAGCCCTCCTCCGCCCACGGCCCAGCCCTGGTTCCCACCTCAAACCCCACCTCCTGCCTGCATGGCCCCCACACGGGCCCTGCCCACCCTCAAGCTGAGCCACCCTCCTACCTTTGGTGCCATACAGATTGTTGAAGTTCTTCTGGTTGGTCTCCTTGGAGAGGCGGCTGGGGGATCCTGGCTGGTACGATGTCCTGGCCCCACCTGTGAAGCAGACCAGGAGGAACCGTCATCACAGAAAGGTGGGTCTGGCTCCACTCGGGGGCCTGTGGCCTCTGACTTGAGGGGTGCTACACAGGACTCCTTGCCCCCAAACAGCTCCCACTGCCTGTCACAGGACCTGGATCCCTCCACTAACACAGCTCCTTTGGGTCTAGAACAAGGCCATCCTCCACACTGGGACACTTCTAGAGAGAAAGGAATGCTATTAGTAATGATTCTGAGAACACCAGGTGTAAACTTGGAGGTGCCTAGATGGACTAAGACATACAGTCACCCCACTCAGGGGTCTTTGAGGATCACCAGAGGCTGGAAGAGCCAATGCTTCTCCCCTGAGCCAGTCCCCATGAACATCACCCAGATGCTTCCCCCGAGGGATGGGAGCCTTCCACTGCACCGGTGCTCCCTCTCCCAGGGATGGGGGCTTTCCACTGCACGGGTGCTTCCCTCCAGGGATGGGAGCCTTCCACTGCACAGGTGCTCCCCTCCAGGGATGGGGGCCTTCCACTACACAGGTGCTTCCCCCCAGGGATGGGGGCCTTCCACTGCACAGGTGCTTCCCCCCAGGGATGGGAGCCTTCCACTGCACAGGTGCTTCCCCCCAGGGATAGGGGCCTTCCACTGCACAG